GAACTATATATATATATATATTATATTATACGGTAATTTTTAATTATATTATAACTAAAATATTATTATTTATTATATAATCTTATAATATATTTTATAATATTATAATTATATTAACCATTTTAATATTATTAATAATTTTATTACATTATATTACATTTTATATAGTATATTAATTATATTGATATATAAAATATTAATGTTATATATAACATAACGGTAATTTTGTCAACATGAAAATATTCATGTTGCATTCTATAGTATTCATAAAATTATAACAAAACAAATAAATTAACTTTCTTTTTCATTCCATTACCATTACCATTCTCATTCCCATTACTATTACCATTCCCCACTACAACTAAATACAACCTAAGTTGGAAAATAATATGCAGGAGTATCTAAATTGTCATAGCAGGTGAGTGTTATGTGAGAATATCCAAAAGTATCTTGAGTTTTAGTTAAATCCAAGAATACTCGTATGTTTTTTATAATCTAAAAAGTATCCTTAGATTTTTTATATTATCTGAAAATTATCCTCTACGTTTTCTAAAAGAGTTAAAAGAAAATAACTTTAATTGATCAAAACTTTTGAAATACCAAAATTAGATTAACTTTAACCATTAATTATGTAAAATTAGATTTCAAAACTAAATAAAATCAAGAAAACAAAAAAGGCAATGGCCGTGTTTAGAATTGATCTTTTTTTTTTTACGTTTTTCGAGAAAAAAATGAAAACGTTTCCAAAATTACATTTGACGCAATAAAGATAAAAAACGGAAATGAAAACGATTTTTTGGTTTAGTGTAAAATGAGAGAGAAATGAAAAACGACTTTTAGTCATTTTTCATTTTTTGTTTTCGTTTTCTCCTCTCTCGAGCAGATAGAGAGACATTAATGGGTTTTTTTATACTGAAAACAATCTCTTGATAAAACTACCAGACGCATTTTTAAAAATAATTTATGTATGAGATTGAAAACGTTTTCATTTTCATTTTCATATAAAAAATAAAATCATTTTGGAACGAGTTCCAAAGGCGCCCAATGTGTTTGCATGATCACGGAGTAGTATTCAGTGTAGTGTAGGGTGGAATGGATTTGACAAGTCTAAATTTGCTTCTTATGTGTCGATGGTAAGAATGCGAGATGTTGTGAGGAGCTCAACTAGTCTAATTGGTCAATTCTTTAAATTTAGTTTCTTAGCCGCTATTTGTTTCAACAACTCAAACCCAACAATTCAATTTAAATCATACTTTAGTATTTGTTAATACCTGATTTTGTACCAGGCCCATTCAAGGGTCCATGCCCAACCATGGCATCACGCGACGTTATTAGGCTCGTTTCGTTGACCCTAGCCACGCTCGGGGAACGCATGTGGGTTGTGGTTTGGTGGGCCATGTGTGATCAAGTAGGCTAATTTGTCATTTAATTCGATTCAATTTGAATCCTTCTTGGAAGGTTTTCAGAATTAATCGGATTAAATATAAATGAGTGATGGAGAATTCTCAAAAAGCCTTCATCTCGTCCTTTTGGAAGCCCAAAACTTCCTAAGTCCACACCTTAGAACCTCTTCCTCTTTGTCAAGATTGATTCTCAGTGTTTTGACTCCAACAAAGGCTCTGTTGGCACCAGACATGCCTAATGGAGGCTCCCTCTGTGGCAGGCATGTCTTCCGGAGCATCCTCTTCATATTCAAGTATGCCTAACGGAGTCCTTTTCGCGTCAGGCATCCTTCCTTTGGACTTCTTCTCGCCCAGCTCACCATCAGAGCAACCTTCGCTTAGAGCATGCTCACCCTTTAGAGCAGCTTCAACCGGAGCAGCTTCATTCGGAGCAACTTTCATGTCAAAGGCAACTTGATGGTTGCTTAGCCTATATCGTATAAACCATCTCTTACAAGGTCTGACATGCGATCAGATCTCCGAAAGAGGAAGTCAACAGAGAACAAAGTTAAGTCAAACACTCTTAAAAATTTCAAACCTTAGAACTCTTCACGTCAGCTTCAAATACGGAACTTTACCTCCAAGTCTTTCCATTTTCGGATATTTTCTTTGTCAATCCAGAAAGTCACCTGATCACTTTGTTCCAAAGGGAATTGTGTGTGCAGGTCTTCGTTAGAGGCGTCGTTGATTGGGCTTCAGAACAGCAACCATGAACCTTCCTTTCCATTTTCGGACCAACTCTCCTTCAGCCCCAGAAAGGCTTTTGATGACTTTGCTCCATTGGGATCGTGTGTACATGCTTCCTTCAGAGCGCCATTGATTCACGTCTAGAGCAATTTCCCATAAGTCTTCATTCCATTTTTGACCAATATCCTTTTCAACTCCGGAAAGGTGCCAGATGGTTTTGCCCCATCGTGATTGCTTGTGCATGCATTCATCAGAGCACGTCATATGAACATCCGGAGCTGCCGCCAAAATCCTACCAACTTCACCTATAAATACCCTCATATTCCTCATTCTAGATAACCTTAAACTTTTGAGGCCCCCATCTCCTTCATGTCACAAGGGTTAATCCATCATCATCACCACCCACTACTTTCATCCTCTTTAGATCACTTTATCTCTCTTCCTTCAGACTTTTCTAGTCTCTTGCTACAGAGACCTGAAGTTCTTCAAGCCCTTTAAAGTTCTTCAAAGCTTCCAAGTGTTGACAGCCTTGGAAACTCTTGCAAAACAATTTTTAATCCATTTCCACCACCATCTCAAAACTCTTCGAAGTTTCTTAGGCACTTTCGTGCAATATTCGAGTTTTCATTTTTGGGGTCACTTCCGCTCTCTGTCAGAGCAATTGCTCTGAGCGTCATTCTCACTCCCAGAGCAACACGCGCTGCTCTTGGAGTTCCCTTGACTATAGCCTTATCCACTTCTCAACTTCACTCTCACTCTCCTCTAAGCCTTATCCACCACTTGAGTCACTATCTTCACTCCTGAAGCAGCCCGCGCTTGTCTCCAGAGCACTGCTCTATCAAGGCACTATTAGTTTCCTTTTCTCCATCTCCATCAACTACTTGGTTGCACCTTCTACCATTCTTCATCTTCGGAGTTCTTTTTATTTGTGTTTGCATATTCTCTAACATATTTTGCAGGGCATTTTCGTCATTTCGGCAACAAAGAAAGTCCTAGGACACGTGTCTTTCGGCCTAATTTAGGCCTAGCCGAGCCCACTTCTTCGTCGGAGGTCCCGCCATCATCATCTACTTCAAAGCTTGGCCACGTCGGATCCGCTTCCGGCAACCTCTGACACGTCGACCCTCTGAATCTACCGGACCCTGACAATATTCAAATTGATGTTTCATAGAGAACTAAATGATGACAATTCAAATCATTCACAATGAGGTTTTATAAGATTTGTTACAAAACTCTAATAACAGTTTTTAACACTTTATCCAAATATAGTTTGGATTTTATTTCCAATTCAAATTACAATTTATTTGCGTATCCTAACACCGGTTTAAATCGCAATTCAAATTATCACAGTTCAAATGATCACAATTCAAACCAAATCACACAATCCTAACAACCCTTAGTCATTAATGTTTAAGGTAATGTTTAAATATTGATGATTAAGCGTATTTATGTCATTTTCAACAATTTAACAACTTACAAGGTTATATTTTACTTCTTTTACAACACTTAAGATATAATTTTGAGATAATTTAAAAACATAAAAGATACTTTTTGAATTACAAAAAACACAAGGATAAATGTTAGATTTATCTTAACCTGAATGGGTACTTTTTAAATTTTCTCGCGTTTTTGTCTTTTTTTTTTTTAAATTTTTTTTATTTATCTGTAGACTTACAGTCAAATGCCAATCTCTGATTTCTTAAAATAATGGAAGCGAATGAAGTGATTCAGTGGCGATATGATAGTATCACTCCAACTGCAAACCAAAAATTAATGCCCTCTATTTCTCTCTTTCAAATCCAGTTTGGAGACTGGTCATTCAGAAACCTAGGAAGAAAACATGAAAATCAGCTATAATGTAATGGGTTTAAACCAGTGCTTTTAACTATAACTTCTGAAATTTAATTTTTTTTGTGAAGAAAAACATCGTAATAGAATTAAAATCTTGCACTGTAACAGAACCCATATACCAAACAAGCCGTAGTCATTATGGAACATTAGCTATTTCCTTCATTCTTTTTCAAGAATCAACATCAAGGTGATAAGAACCACATCACCCTGCGTACTTTTGATGCTCATACTTGGATGATCATCATTGCTCGACATACTAAACAACCTCCCCTGATAATTTTTACCACTTTGCATCACATTAAACATTCTCTTTCTGTGCACCATTTCTAGTTCCAATATATGCATCAGATCTCAATGTTGGTGAGCCCTGCAAATGGGTCCCTTTTTCCTACCTTCCCACAATCAGCAATAATAAAAAAAAATATGCTCCAAAGTTTCTATTGCACTCTTCATTCATATTGATTCAAACCCGTATATTGCACTCTCTAATTTGGCAAATGGTTTGGTTGAATTTGCATTCTCTTACGTCTCTATCTAAAATTGTCCATTGGTAACCTTAACAATCTAAATTATTCAAACAGGTATCAAAACTGCTGGATCAACTCCTAAAATCTACACTCAGATTAACAAAAAATACAAGCAAAACATTCCATGCAATAAGAGGAAGTGTTTTTTCTGAGACTATTCGATTCAATCACTACCAGTCCATTCCTTCCAGTCCTTGTCGACATATTTTTGTGCCCATTTGACTGCCGCTCGAGCTGCTTGTGATGCACCAGGCAAGCCCCTTTCATGAACTGTATCAGCCATATCGATGAAAGGAACGACCAGGAGCGTACCTGGACCACCATACTCGGTGTGTAAGAAGGTACCGAATATCTGTCATAAAGAATATCACCATGAGACCGGTAGAATTCATTTGTACTTCTACCCAAATAACACCAACAAGCAGGGAATGTTTCTTAAATCCAACAATGTCTAACGCTCAGTTGGCATTGTCTTTAGGAAGGTTTTTTGGTTTTTGCACAATGTTCCATGTAGAATTGAGTTTGGTAAAATTACTTACTGCTGACCTATACACATTTCAGAAAAACCAATGCACTTTAAACAAATTTGAGAAGTTAGTAATAGATAGCTTTTGAATTGTAATTGACCAAAAATCAACAAAAAAGCAAAAAATTAGAAGCATAATCAATCCCAAACGAAGCAAAAGTACCTCAGTGCAGATATCTACAACTTCTTCCACCGAGTCTTCATAGATATCTTTCTTGGACAGCTTGCTGAGGAGATGAGTCCTGAATTTATCTGTCTCCTATCAAGTGGTTGAGGAAAGATTTCAGAAAGCAAACAAAAAAAGATAAAAAGGAAACATTGGACAAAAAAAGATAAGAGAAACTTACAGCCTCAGCGAATTCAGGAATCGGGTCGGGAAATTTGTACTCTGCTGCGGCTCTACAAATCTGATTGGTGGCCCGGGAAATTGACTGCGGCACTGTCTCTGCCTTTGTTCTTTCAGGATAAAAAGAGGAACTTTTGAAACTTACTCCACTTGAGCAATTGGAAGGGAAGCATAATGAAACCCCACTAGCCAGAGAAGAATAAGATGAAACAAGTGGTCGGGATGGCTCGAGTTTTGAAGGAGCAATGGGTAGCACAGTAGCTATTATTCTACAACCCATTTCTGGCGCAAAACCTCCTCTGTATTAAGCTTAAAAAGGAAAAAAAACAAATAAAATCAATCCCCACCACATTATATTTAAACATTATCAAAGCTATGCTGCAAAAAACTATGCAAAAGGACAGAAAGTATCGGCAGTTTTTTGATAAATGGCTAATTTAGGAGTTATTTTTATTTTTAGGAAAGTTTGCTCTTTGGCTATTTTTATAAAGTATAATTTAGGAGTTTAGTTTTTTTTCCTTTTCTATAAAAAGGCCCTGTACTGATTTAATCAAATAATAAGAAAAATTCTTCTGAGCCCTAATACACGCTTACATGGTATCAGAGCCCTGGTCAGAAAATGGCTGGGAATAGATGGACTACCGCCAGGCCATGACCGGCCAAAAGAGGTCTTCCACGACCGCCGGAGATGGGTCGACTACGTCTGAGGGCGGTGCAGAATCGGCAGCAAGAGAAGGCATGATTTCTGGAGGAAACCCTAGCAGCGGCGGCGGTGGCCTGATCCCTAGTAGCAGTAGCCACGATTTGTTCGGCTCTTTCTCATCCTTTCAATTGACAGGGCAGAAACTTAATGGCCAGAATTTTTAGAGTGGGCTCAATCCATGAAACTAGCCATTGATGGAAGGGGAAAACTTGGCTATTTAACAGGAGAACGTGAGAGACCAGCCACTGGAGATCCTGGGTTGGCGACATGGAAATCTGAAAATTCATTAGTTATCGCATGGCTGATCAATTCTATGGAACCAGCTATCGCAAAACCACACATGTTTTTTACCAACCGCTAAGGATGTTTGGGAAGCGGTTAGAGAGATGTATTCTGACCTAGAGAATTCATCTCAAATATTTGAGTTAAAAACAAAGCTATGGAGTTCCAAGCAAGGCAGCCGTGATGTTACTACTTATTACAACGATATTGTCACCTTGTGGCAAGAATTGGATTTGTGTTTATGAAGATGATTGGGAGTGCCCGGTTGATAGTGTTAAGCACAAGAAAAGAGAATAGAATGAGCGCGTGTACAATTTCCTTGCTGGTCTCAACCAAGAGTTAGATGAAGTCCGTGGTCGCATTCTTGGAAGGAAGCCACTACCCTCGCTTAGAGAAGTGTTTTCTGAAGTGCGTAGAGAAGAGGCTCAAAGGAAAGTGATGATTGGGAAAACTGCACATGACTCCGAAGGGTCGGCTCTTGCGTCGAGAAGTAGTGATGGTGAAGGAAGAAGTAACAAGAAACCGTGGTGTGATTACTGCAAGAAACCATGGCATACACGTGAGACTTGTTCGAAGATCCATGGTAAGCCTGCTAATTGGAAGAAAAAACAACTGGAATTCCCGAGCTAATGTTACTGATTCAGGAAAGGAGTCCTCTTTAGGAGTGCAACCATTCACGAAGGAACAGCTAGAGCAAATCTGTAAAATCCTCCAATCCCAAAACCTTGTCAATCCTACTCCTTCTGGTTACGTGGCAAAAAAGGGTAACCATTTTTTGTCCTCATGTCTTAATGTTGAGTCAAGTGTCTCTTGGATAGTCGATTCTGGTGCTACAGATCACATGACTGGCTGCTCTAAATCCAGTTGTAGGGAATCAAAGAGTCAAGATAGCAGATGGAACCTTTTCGGCAGTGGCCGGGAAAGGGTCTATTGTTATCTCATCCAATATTACACTTCTTGACGTTCTTCACGTTCCTAAATTGTCCTGTAATCTTCTTTCAGTCAGTAAATTTATTCATGATCAAAAGTGTCGAGCTAATTTCTCGTCATCTGGCTGTCTGTTTCAGGATTTGACTTCGGGGAGGACGATTGGCAATACTAAGAAGTTGGTGGACTCCATTTTTTTGACACTAGATATGACTCAAGTAGGCAACCCCGGAGGACTTGTCTCAATTCTATTTATGTTCTTGATTCAAGTGAAATAATGTTATGGCATTATCGTTTAGGACATCCAAATTTTCATTATTTAAGACACTTGTTTCCAAAACTTTTTATCAATAAAAATCCATCTTTATTTCAGTGTGAGATTTGTGAATTTGCGAAACATCATCGAACTTCTTTTTCTACTCAACCATATAAAGCCACTAAACCATTTACTATGATTCATAGTGATGTTTGGGGCCATATCGGATTAAAATAGTAACAGGAAAGAGATGGTTCATTACTTTTATCGATGATCACACACGTGTCACTTGGGTGTTCTTACTTCATGACAAGTCTGAAGCTGAAACTGTGTTTAAAAACTTTTACAACATGATATTAACACAATTTCAAACACAGATTCAGATTTTCAGAAGTGATAATGGTAAAGAATATTTTAACCAAATCTTAGGGATCTTTTTTACCGAAAAAGGCATTGTTCATCAAAGCTCCTGTACCGACACTCCACAACAGAATGGAGTTGCAGAGAGGAAGAATAAACATCTCTTGGAGGTTGCTCGGTCTTTAATGTTTTCAACCTCAGTTCCAAAATATCTGTGGGGTGAGGCAATTCTGACAGCTACATATTTAATCAACAGAATGCCTACAAAAATTTTGAAATTTCAAACCCCATTGGAGCAACTTAAGAGATGTTTTCCTTCTTCTCATCTCACTTATGATCTTCCCCTTAAAGTTTTTGGGTGTACAGCGTTTGTTCACATTCATGGCCACAGCAAGGGAAAATTAGATTCCCGGGCAAGAAAATGTGATTTTGTTGGGTATCCCTCCACTCAAAAGGGTTACAAATGTTTTGATCCACTCACAAGGAAGTTTTTCGTGTCCATGGATGTCACTTTTTTTGAAAACAAACCTTTTTTCTCAAACACTCATCTTCAGGGGGAGACATCAAGTGAAGATTCAAACGATGACTTGTTAATAAATGATGTTGTTCCTGTGCATTCTATGAGTCAAAATGATAAATTTGATAAAAGTAAAGAATCTGAAACCGTTTGTAAAGAATTTGAAACCATTTCTACTGTTTCTGAAAAAAGAGGGCCCGAACTTTGTGATAATACTGAAGCAGATGGAACAATTAATGATGTCTCAAATAGTGAAAATATGGATACTGTTCCTTTAACTATGCCCTTACAGAGTGAAACTCGGAAAGAGAACGAGATGTGTGCGAGGCAAGGTGGAATTGAGTTTAAAGGGAAAGTCTATAAGAGAAAGTATCCAAGACAGGAAGATAGAGCTCCCGATCCGAAGCAGAGCCATGAGCCTAAACCGATGACAAATATGGAAAATGAAGCTCAGTCAAGTAATTCTCTGTCCGAACCACAAAAAATTGCGTCTAATCGTTAGTCACTTGTCAAGTCAAATACATATGTTGATTTACCCATTGCCCTTAGGAAAGGTACTAGATCGTGCACCAAACATCCTCTTTATAACTTCTTGTCATATAAGAGTATGTCCCCATCATTTCAAGAATTTACTTCAAAGTTGTCCTGTGTCACTATTCCAAAAGATATACAAGAAGCTCTAGGTGTTCCAAAATGGAGGGAAGTAGTTCTTGAAGAGATGAGAGCTCTAGAAAAGAACAAAACTTGGGAAATCACAGAGCTATCTAAAGGTAAAACCCTGGTTGGTTGCAAATGGGTGTTTACAGTGAAGTATAAGGCTGATGGCTCTCTTGAAAGGTACAAAGCTCGGTTAGTTGCCAAAGGATTACCCAGACCTATGGCATAGACTACTCAGAAACCTTCTCCCCTGTTGCCAAACTGAATACTGTGAGAGTAATCTCTCCCTTGCGGTCAACCTTGAATGGGGTTTGTTCCAACTGGATGTTAAAAATGCATTCTTAAATGGAGATTTAGAAGAGGAAGTGTACATGGAAGCTCCTCCTGGTTTTTCTCACAGATTTGATGGAAAGGTCTGCAGGCTTAGGAAATCCTTGTATGGACTTAAACAGTCTCCTAGGGCCTGATTTGAGAGATTCACAAAGTTTGTGAAGAGTCAGAATTTCGTACAAGGATAGTCAGATCATACTATGTTTATAAAGAAATCACATGGGGGGAAGATGGTAGTGTTGATTGTTTATGTGGATGATATTATCCTCACAGGTGATGATGTTGAAGGCATGGAAGAGTTAAAAAAGGAACTGTCCTCTGAGTTTGAAATCAAGGATCTTGGTCAACTCAGATATTTCCTTGGCATGGAGATTGCAAGGTCAAGACAGGGGTTAGTGGTCTCACAACAAAAATATATTTTGGATCTCCTAGAAGAGACTGGGATGACAGGATGCAAGCCTTCAGACACGCCTATAGAGTTCAATTCCAAGTTGGGCGAAATAAAGGAAGGAGTGCCAGTAGATACAAGTCGATATCAGCGCTTGGTAAGGAAGCTGATTTATCTATCCCATACTCGCCCAGACATTTCATTTGTTGTTAGTCTGGTGAGTCAGTTTATGCATGCTCCCTATCAGGAACATCTGGAAGCAGTGTACAAGATTCTGAGGTACTTGAAAGCTACTCCTATGAAAGGACTTTTTTTTTAGGAAGAACAATCAACGGTTGGTTGTAGTTTATAAAGATGCAGATTGGGCTGGTTCGGTAACTGATAGAAGATCTACCTCTGCATATTGTACGTTTGTGTGGGGAAATCTAGTAACCTGGAGAAGCAAAAAACAGAGCGTAGTAGCGAGAATTAGTGCCGAAGCTGAGTACCGAGCGATGGCTCAAGGTGTGTGTGAGATTTTATGGGTGAAGAGACTTCAGAGTGAACTTGGCAGACCAGTTGAACTTCCTATGAAGTTGTTCTGTGACAATAAGGCGGCGATCAGTATTGCGAATAATCCAGTTCAACATGATAGAACTAAACATGTTGAGATTGACAGACACTTCATCAAGGAAAAACTTGAAGAAGGAGTTGTTTGCGTTCCATTCTTGCCTTCCAGTCAGCAGATCGCAGATGTCTTCACCAAAGGGCTCCTAAGGCAAAATTTTGAGTATTTTGTAAGCAAGTTGGGCATGATGAATATCTATGCACCAACTTGAGGGGGAGTGTCAGCAGTTTTTTGATAAATGGCTAATTTAGGAGTTATTTTTATTTTTAGGAAAGTTTGCTCTTTGGCTATTTTTATAAAGTATAATTTAGGAGTTTAGTTTTTTTCCTTTTCTATAAAAAGGCCTTGTACTGATTTAATCAAATAATAAGAAAAATTCTTCTAAGCCCTAATACACGCTTACAGAAAGTATATAAACTAGTGGGTGAAATGAAAACCAACATCATCCAGGCAAATAATAAACAGACAAAAATAAAAATCAGGAGATATCTCACCGGCCGATAAAGATTCTAGGCAATCACTCAGGGTTTTAGAGAGGAGAAAGACTCCCAATCGAAAGAGGGGTGTGGTGACAAGAAGGGCAAGACTTATCTGCAGAACGAAAGAATGATTAATTAGAGAAAAAGGATAAAACAAAAATGTTAGGACTAATCCGATAATGGTTCCCAACCTTTACGCCCAATTCCACTTTGATCCTTAAACTTAGAAAGTCCCAAACTTAACCCTGATCTATCAGTTTATTTTGGCTTTAATTTTTTCTATCAATTATTAATTTGTGTTAAAAAGAGGACAAAATATACACACAATGTTGATAGAAAATAACACTCTGGTTTACTAAAGAAAAAAAAAAAAAAAAACACTTGCTAATAGAACATCATCTATACCTCGTCATCTTTTTAACATCTAACTGATGAAAGGTTTAAAACTGTGATAAACTGATAGTTTGAGGCTGGTTAAGTTTGAGACGCTTTAAAACTCAAAAAGATCAAAAATTAGATCAGGGTAAAGTTCACGGATCATTTGTGAGATTAACCGAAAATATGGAAAGTACCATTACTGATAAAACAAGTAGAAACCATCATTGCAAGAAATTTGGCATATAATAGTGGCCATAATATTGGCTAATTGCAGCAACTAAGCCCATGACTAGACTTCCTTAGCCAGAGCTGAATCTCTTCATCAAAGAATTAAGAACTATAAAGCATAAACCCGAGATATTAACACCATTTATCAAGTTTTACAAGGTGAAAATTAATAAAATAAGTTCAGTCTAACCACCAGAAACAGATTACAAAAGGGAAAGAAACTTGCAAGATAGTGTCCCAAACTCTGTATCAAGCATTACTCGATAATATTAACACTTCTTACAAGGGCTCTTTCTTTTTTTTTTTTTTGACATATATAACCACAACACCCAATACACACACACACACACACACACACACACACACACACACACACACATAAATATAAATACACACACACACACACACACACATATCTAGAGACTTTAAAGACAACCAAGAAACAGAAAACCTTACGAATACAAAGAAGAATTTTTTTTGTTTTTTTTCCGGAGTTACATATTTTCTACACTAATAAGAGTCTGAAAATTAACGAGAATAAAAAGAACCACTATCTTCAAATACTCTAAATGAGCTATTTCATTCCAATCGATTACAAATAAAAACGCAAATGAGAAGTTAAAACGATTGCAACTCGAGAAAAGATAATTGAATGGGAAAAAAAATAAATAAAAATTTTTGAGGAAAATGAAAAGCAATACCTTCAAGAAGTGAGAATAGAGATAGAGCTTCTTGTTTTTCTCCAGTGGGTTTGGTAGCTTAAAGAAGAAAACCCCTCTTCTCTCTCTTGTGTTTGGAGGGAGGGAAAGTCGGACTGAGAGTGAAATAAACGGATTTTTATCTACTGAATAACTTGGGGTTTTATTATTTGTTTTTTAAAAAGAAAAAAACATTCGAGACTAGACACGCTAAAACGAAGCAGCGGTTTCCGCCGTAAAAGAATAAAATAAAATAAAAGGATTATTTGCATCCATACCCTTTGTTTTGAAAGTTCTCATTACTCAACCCCAGACTTTAAATTTCTTCCACTTTATCCCCTCAGTTTCATTTTCTATTAAAACCAAATAGAAATATAGCACATGCGTTCATCTGGGAGTTCTACGAGGGTATCGTAGTTGAACTTTTGCTTATTTGCACTCTGTCTCTTAAACTTTAACGACGTCTTCACTTTATTTTATAAACTTTTTTATAGTTCTCACCAAACTATCTTAAATTTTAAAATCTCTTACTTTACTCCCTTTGTTTAATTACAATTGGTACTCGCTCACTCACCTCTGTTACAATTCGACCTTGTTATTTGAATTATTTCCATTGATTTGATTCATGGGGAGACCAATTTATACAAAATAGGAATTTTATGAGAAAAGAAAGCAAATATCCTTTAGAGTAAATGAGTTTAAATTTTTACTCTTTACTCTTAATTAATACCATTTTAGTCAAATAGCTATATTTTTCAAAAATGTATTAAGCAAGAGTAAATGATAAATATCTGACATGCAATCTAGGGGTAAGTTTAGCAATTTGCTCGAACTTTATTGATCCAGATCAAGCCCATATTTGTAGACAAGCTAGACAAATTCGCATCATAATTCTAATTGCAATGTAAGTTGCAGCCAATGATGAAAAGATAAATATTAATGGAAATAACGGTACTTAGATTTTATGAAAATATCAATATCGTTAGAAATTAACGTAAAATACACAAATTTATCCTAAAACGCTTTGTCAATATATGCTAATATACGCAAAAAATTTTCACAAAATACTTGTCATTTAACCTTGCAGTTTTCAAAGTAAGTCAAATTTAGAGTTTGGAGTAATATGGTGGGAACTATAAAAAAGTTCAAATGGCAAAGTGGAAGTGACCTCAAACTTTAAGAGGTAAAGTGGATGCGACTCTAAACTTCAGGTGGCATGGGTGCATGTAACTCAAAATTCAATTACGATTTTACCATCATAAAATCCCCACCTGAGCGCATGTGCTAAGTGGGAGTATTTTAAAGTTCAGAGTATTATTGTGAGAATTTTTAATGATCAGGGAGTAAAGTGGGGGTGACTCTAAAGTTCAAGATGGATAGATATAAATAGTTCAAAATATAAATAGAAAGGATTGCACATTTCCTCCCGAACTTGTATAGTGTTTTGGTGACTTCTCCATTAAACCTCCAAGTTTCACAGTTTACCCATGACCATGCAAAAACTATTGCAATGTGCGTAGTTTCTAATTTTGTTATATTTTTTTTATCACATTTAAGAGATTGAGTGGACGTTTGGTTCATGGATTTAGAACCATGATTCAGAATCATTTGTGAGAGAAAATACTATAGTGAACCACGAACCATGATTCGAACCATGGCACGAATCTCCTTTTCAAACGCATGTTGAGAGATTTTCGTTACAATTTGTATTGGAGTATTGGAATTTTTCATCAAACGTGTTTTTCTCATCACTAATTTAACACTATAATTATTAAAATGGCATGCAACAAGTTGGAGAATAAAATGCAAAAAAAAAAAAAGAAGTTGAAGGACTAAGTTGTAAGAACACTAGAAATTTAGGAAAAAAATGTCCAAAATACCCATCAAAAGAGTTTTAGGATCGATTTTGAGTTTGGCCCTCTAAGAGTAGGAATTGTGTTACCGGAAAAAGAAATGAATATCCGCTTAAATTGTATGGGTCTTGTTTGTACCATCTATTATTGATTAATACCATTATAATTAAGTACTATATTAGCCAAAAATATATTAATTAAGAATAATGAGTAAACATTTAACTCATGCATTTCTAAGGGATAAGGGTAAGTGTAGTAAATTTTTTTATCTTGTTATTTACCTTTTACAACTTGAAATGACACAAAAACCCCTATCGTCCCTAGAAAAACCATTAAAAATTACCCTTTATTAGTAATTATGTTATGTATACTAAATTAAACTAATTAAACAAATTAATACCTCATTAATATAATATTATAGAAGAGTTTTGTTTCAAAAATCTTTTGATTTTTTAAGGTCCAAATTCAAAAGTCACAAGCTTAAATGGCAACCCCATAAAGTCCAAATTTACAAGTCACAAGTTTAAATGGCAACCCTATATTAAATAAGAGAGATAAAAACATTAATATTTTATGTTATAGCGAAACATGCTTTTAGTATCCTATGTTTTTAATAATATTAAAATGATATGTCAATATTTTTAAAAATATTTTTTTAGTATTCTAAAACTGATTTTTAAGACTAAAATGACCTTAATACTATTCTACTTAATTAACCAAAAACTAATAAATTTTAAAAAATCATGAAATTTTTTATTTTATTATTTTCTTTAAATATTAAAATATTTTTAGATTTTTTTTGAAAAATATTATTTCTATTCAATTAATAATAATGGTAGTTCAAATATTACAATTCTCAAAAATAAGTTTTAGGATATCAAGAATATCTTTTTAAAAATATTTACGTACTGCTTTAATAATATTATAAAAAAATATAAAATGATAAGGGTATGTTTCGTTATTTAGAATATCAAATGAGATATTTATTTTAAGAATTTGTCTTTAATTTTAAATCATAATTCTTAATTATTTATAATATTTTTTTTTATAAAAAATTTAAATTTTAAAAATCAAACGTCTTAAAAATATTTTATCTTTAAATAAAATTAACAAAATGGCTCACAAAAGAGAAAATACTAGAACTTCAATAGTAGCGAGATCGCCGCTGCTCCAAAACAAAGCATCAAACCAGTTACCAAAGTCACTTCTCAATACAAAGCGTAAGAAATCAGACTTTCCATTCTTCAAATTGAGAAGAAACAAGGTAAAGCCCTTTTGAAATTTCCAATTCTCTCTTCTTCGATTTACAGATTCGTTAAGAACAACAGTTGTTTAGATCTGGTTTCGATTTAGACGATCTGTTTGGTTTCGTCTGTTGGGTTTCTCTGATTGTGCTAGTTTGCAATACTATGATTTTTGGGGGCGAATTATAATTACTATGAGAAAATTAAGAGTTGAAACCATAAACTATTCTTTCGATTGGAGTTATTGAAATTCAAGTCTCTTTTTGCTAAGATATTGAAACTCAAGTCTCAATTGAATTGTTCTGTGCTTGTGAGAATCTGGGATAATTGGGATTTTAGCTGAATAAGCTAGTTTTGAAATTCAAGTCTCAATTGAATTTTTTTCCTCTTTAATTTGGGTAGAAAATGTGGTGCTTTTACAAGAAAACGGTAGTGGAATCTGTATATCTGATTGGCTAGTGGCTAGTTTTGTTTTTTTTTTTTTTTTGTTTTTTTTTAAAGAATCACTGAATGGGTTCACATTTTCTTGATTTCTAAATCATGTGTAGCCTTTAAAATTGAGAAGAAAGTAAACAACTTTCTTTTGTTCCTTTACATGATTTCAAAGGAGATATAGTTTGAGTTGATTTGTAATGTTTAGTTGAATAGTCCCTATCATTACTCTGTGAATTGTAAATTGAAGCCTCACTCTAATGACTATTTGAATAGTCTCTACGATTAATGTTTTAATTGAGTTGTGAGTAAATTGGTAAATACGGGAATTTCAATGATTTATAAAGTGATATTGTAATCGTTGATTTTTTGTTTGTTGAAAGTGACTCACTATTATGGTTTAGTTTAGTATGTAACAGAGTGCAAGTTTCTTGGTTGTTTTTTAGTATGTAGTGTGGAAGTTTCTGAGTTGTTTCTTACTTGGTAATTATGACTTACTAGTTTAGTATGTAATAGAGTGCCGGTTTCTGATTGTCATCTTTTAAGTTTAACAAAGCGTGAAAATTTCGGTTTATTAGTAGAATGTGCAGGCTTCCGAGTTCTTGTTTATTAGTAGTTGTGGAAATTTTTTAAGTAGTTTGTTTATACTTGGTAAATGTATGATTTAGTAGTTTAGTATGTAATGATGTGCTGGTTTCTGAGTTGTTGCTAAACCGTGCACATGCTCTGCTTTTTGTTGAAAGATAATGTCTAGTTTAGATTCTTTACAATGCAATATTTTGCAATTTCTTGGTTGTCATTTACGACTTTAGAGCATTTCCAATGCAATGCTATAATTGATGTGCCAATTGCAAATTTAGCATTTGAGTGTAAAAACACTCTCCAATGCAATGCTATTTGTTGTGCCAAATTTCCCATATGCTATACTTTGTGACAAATTTCCCACCAATATAGCATATAGGAAATTTAGCATTTGATTGCTATTGGTTGAAATGTTTACTTTTTCATGTACTCATTGCAACTTTTGTATTTTCTAATTATTTTTAAAATAAAAGTTTATTTTTACAACTTTCAAAGCTTAATGATTATGGGAAAAAGTAGATTTAGCATTTCAAATAGCATTATGCATTGGAGTAAAAATGAAAATAACATATCATATCATATTTTTTGATGTTAAATATATAATTAGCATTAGCATTTGCACTGGAAATGGTCGTAGCACATACCGCTGTGCAAGATAACTCATATACTTACGATAGTTCAGTATAATATCATACTAATTCCGTGATTTACCTTGCTGCCTAACTAATTTATTTACTGGTAATATATTATATTATCGGAGTTTTTGTTGCCTGAAAACTTTTTATTTACTGAATAAGTATTTTTTCCACTAGTTAGAAGTCTAGTCTTCTATTTAGTAGTTCTGTGTATAATCTGTTGTAATACGGATAACTGGAGAAATTCTCACAGTTCACAGGAAGCTGGAACTTGATCTTCTCGGGGCTTAAAATCCGGCAAGAAACAAACAATATACCCCCATTTTGCTTGGTGGTCGGCAATCGGATTTCAGAGGTTTCATTGTCTTCTCAAAGCAAAGGCAGCCATAAATGGATTTGATGGAGCTTTGGGCGATCTTTGGACCAGGTGTCGCTGGCGCAATCTTTGGTGCAGGTTGGTGGTTTTGGATCGACGCTGTTGTTTGCAGCTCCGTCAAAGTCTCATTTTTACACTACCTTCCCGGCATATTTGCATCATTGGCAGCTTTGATGTTCAATTGTGTTAGGAAGGACGATATTGACTACTCTCCCTACGAAGAAGGCGAGTGGAGGTTGAAGCTCTGGCTTTTCTTTGCCTATGTTGTGTCCTTTGTTTCTCTGGCGGCATCAGTCGGTCTCCTGATTCAAGATTCACTTGTGAAAACTGGCCCTTCAGTATGGACAGGAACAGCCGGTGTGTTGCAATGTGTGTTTGTGTTGGTCAGCGGGCTGATTTATTGGACTGTTCACTCTGAGTAACTTTGGAAATGGCTAAAGAAACCGTTTCTTCTTGAGCCTTAATGCCAAAAGTGAGAAGTCATTTGTGAATTTCCCAGTCTCGCTTTTACTTGTTATAATATTCAACCAGTTTGTTAAACGATAGTTTACCTTGTAAATGTTGTGCTAACAATCTTTTTTTCTTCTGCCCAAATAATACTTATATTGTCGATGAATGGTGGAAAAGAATTGAGCATTGTTTTTTTGCTATTTGTTTGGTCTTGAAATCTTGCGAAGCAAAGTTTTCCTAGTCTAGTTCTCTCCCTCTCTCTCTCTCTCTCTCTCTACACACACACACATACATATTTACCTTTCATGTTAATCGTTCATGAGATCTTGATAATCAGCTTTTTGGACATACAATCAGCCTGTCAATCTTTCCTTATCAAGTTCGAACCCAATGTTGTGGTGCTGTTGTGCCATCAGTACAATTACAGTTGGCTCCTTATCAATATGTCGTGACATAGCTAAGCAGAATAATTTTGACCATTCACCTTTCATGAACAAATGACGTGAATTCAATTTCAGAGTTACACAACCGTAAGCAAACTGAAGTCTGACTTCCGGGAAATCGTTAAGGTCTTCTTCTGTATTACCTGTACGACCGATGTAGCACAGTCGTGTGGTATCTCTATAAAGAGAAATTTCTTTCATTCCTGATCCGTTCAAAACGCGTCTAAACCCCACTCGATGGCAGTCCTTTCGCGTATGGTTGGCCGAAAGGACGTGCGTCAGGAGGCTCGCAGCTGGCTATACCGGGGACACAACGAGGATGGTTGCATATCAATTGTATGTGTGGTGGAACGAGATGGACAGAATATTGGCACACCTGTTTTTTTTCTTTTTTATAGAATGACGTTCTAAAAGTAAGAGATGTAATATGATATTTATTATTTATTTAATAAAAGAGTTTATTTATTATTTGATGTGCATATATTAATGAATATTTTATGAATATCAGTGAAAATTCTAGGATTATTTATGTGACCTTAAATATTATATATAATATTATATACGAGAGGATAATATTTAATGATAATAATCAAAATGATGTTCGTAATGAATTTAATTAAATATCAGAATCTTTAATTAAAACATTACTAATACATGCCAATCCTATTTAGAATGGAACGGTGTTATCTGCACTGTTAATATGGCGAGATATTAAGTGAGTGTAGTACGCATAATGAGATTATATGGAACATTGATACAAACACAATATGAATTTCTGATAATTTTCATTAAGCATAAAAATTTGAATTGAGTCCACCGATGGTCATATATAGAATGATATTAATTATGAGTTATTAGCAGACTCCTGTTTATGAATTTGTGTCTTTTAATTTACTCGGTGTGAATTTCGAGATGTTGAATCCTATTCCTTGTATTTTGGAGACACGACGAAGTGAGTAACTGAGAATGTTAATACACGAAATAGAATCCATTCCTTCTTAAGAAAGAAGCAGATAAATAATTATCTTGAGAATTGATTCGGTACTCAGACTAGTAGGAGCTCCAGTTCATGAATTTGTTTTATGAATCATTGTCCATTAAAGAATTAATGGTACTCAAGGATACATATGTAATTAGTGAGATTAAGAGATTTCGCCTAGCTCTAATTATGAATTATTTATGGAGGATTGATCTATATGAATTTGCTATATTAAATGGACACTTCACAGTGTATAAGTAAATTATATCTATGATTATAAGAGTGCAATTCCAAGTTTATAGTGTAGTAACTTTTAGAATTAATAGAATTATTTAATTAATTAAAGATTTTAATTAATTATTAATTTTATTAGAGCTTGAAATTATAGGTTCAAGTGTCCCCCTGTCGTTCTTGTAATCCTACAAGACACTAAGGGCAAAAATGAGAATTTTAAAATTATGGAATTCTAAATAAAGCGCTCAAGAATAATTAATTATAAATTAAATAATGTGATTATTTAAATTTAAATTTGAATTTTGAAACACACATGTGAAGGTGTTCACATAGTGTGAATGCCTAGGGCAGTGTAAATCTCTCTGAGATTCAGTTGATTGCTCTCCAAGTTATCTATTTGATTTATTTGATAAATTGTTCAATTGAAATTCAAATTAATTTAAGTTTAACTTAAATTTGAATTTGAGTCAAAATTGGACTGCATGATAAATGCAAAACTTTATCCTGCCCTATTCATACTGTATGTGCCTACCACAGGGAGATTCATACTGTATGCGCTTACCACAGGGAGGAATCTCCCTGTGGTGGCTAGCCATATAGGATAAAGGAGAGGGGGATTATCTTTCAAAAATTAAATTGAAAGTGGTAGATAATTATCAAGCTCTATCTTGAAGATAAAGTTTAGACTTTTTCTGCGAGTCTGACTACTACTCTATAAATAGGAGATTGCTATAAAATTGGAGAACACAATTTTTGCTCTCTCCTAGCTATGGTGGCCGAATTTTATATAGTAAGGAAAGGAAAAATTTTCTCTCAAATTTCACGTCGTGCATGTGTTGGTGTTCGTGGAAAACTTAAGTGTTTATTTTCTAATCCTATATTGTTTTAGGTGTGCCCACACACATGTCTTCGTAGTTTTTAGGAATTGACGAGGAAGATTTGGGTGCTCTAAACTTGTTTGAAGCAAGGAACTTTCGTGGTCAAAGAACTCAAGTTATCAACCTAATCATTCGCTAGGTATATAAATTAATTTGATTAATTTATTTGTACATAAATTAATGTAATTTATAGAGTATCTCAAACTTTTATGAAAATTTTTGTTATACACGATCCGCTAATTACACACTTCTGCATCCAAAATCGTTTTGGAAACCAACAATTGGTATCATAGCGGTCTATATACTATATTAATTTATGTTCTAATTATGCGATAATCAATGTTGTATTAAATATTTGATATTTAATTTGTATGTATGTGACGGGTAGGTACTTGCATTTATTTATGGATGTTTATATTGATTCATGTTGATGAATGTATTGATGATGGATTTGGTCATTAATTATATGGTTCTATGGATCGGTTATATTCATTTATTAAATTATTTGTAATTTTATTCGGCAATTAGAATTATTGTAATTCTATGATTTAGGTAGATTAGGGCAAGGAATCACAAGTCAAGAAGCTCGAAAAAAATTTGGAAGTGACGCCCTAAAGCACCTCAGATAGCCGCAGCCTGCACGCTGCAAAGCTGCGCCCTGCACCTGCCCAGACGCACCCCGCATGCGCCTAACCCGTGCCCAGTGTGCACAGCCGCACGGCCAGCATGGTCAATCAGGCCCCCTGCGGGCTTGAAGGGTTTTTGAAACCCTAGATGCACGTGCCATTAAACCCGGAAGAGTTCCAGATCCCGAAGATGAAGAGCAAAGCCGATGAAAGAAGAATTTAAAAATCAAAGACTGTTAATGTAAAGGGAGAAAATAATTATTGTAATTATTTATTTATTCGATTTGGTTGTATTAATTACTCGTTCAATATGGTTGTAATTTATATTTCGCATAAGAATCAGTCAAATGCGTCTTAATAGCAGATTGCATATTTTATACTTATATTTATTAGATGATTGTATATTATATGCCCATGCATATAACATGCCATATAGATATAGTATGTTTACTCATATGTGTTATAACATGACATGCATACACGAATATTATTTTATTTATTTAAAAGAGTTTTGAAGAATAAAATAGGAATCATGCACTAAAATTGATTTAAGTTGTAAAATTATGTTATATGTGAAATTGAATTTTAGAGTTAAATTTTAGAATTTCACATATCTAATAAATAAGTTGTTTATTTATTGGGATTTGAAAACTACAAGATGATTTTCAAATAAAATACATATTTGTAAAATATTGAGTGAGAGAGGGTTGTATGACAATACGACCCACTAGTCTCCATCGTTAGTTCAACACCATGAGATTCGAAAGGGGCTTTGCGGTGGCACCAAATATGCACTCCCTACAGAGATTGTTCTTTCAGATTAATATCAAGGTTGACTTCCTAGCGATAAGATTCAAAGATGTATTTCCAGTTTGACCTACCCAATGACGACACTCCGAAGTTAAGTCTGTAGAATCTGAAACGATATGTTACACTCATGACAATATCACCTAATTTGTTGATTATATTTTGACCAAAATAATAGTAGTTCATAAATATGAAAATATGAGATATTTTGATTATATTTATTAATTGAAAAGGTCTCGGTTCAATTTGTGAATATTTTGACCTACCATACGGCGGCACTATATTCGTGGTAAATTGGATTATCGTTGGCACCTAAAATTAAAACGTGATTTATGTATTTTCATGTGCATCACGCATCATATTTTATTGTGCCAAAAACTCACATGTCCTGATATTCGTGCACAAAAAATTGACTAGATGAGTACTCTATTTATTTTCAGTAATATGTCTAATCCTATAATCTCACTACTCGCGACTGAAAAACTGGGCGAAGATAACTATACGAAGTGAAAAAGTAACATGAATATCTTACTATTTGTGATGACCATTAGCTCGTCCCTCTAGAGGAATGTCTTCAAGAGCCCGTGACAAATTTATCTAAAGCCGCAAGGGAGCATTATGATTATTAGATCAAGGCCAACAACAAAGCAAAGTGCTATATGTTGGCCAGTATGAGTGACGTGCTTCGCAAGAAGCATGAGGAGATGAAGACTGTATATGAGATTATGGAGTCTCTAGAAGCCATGTTTGGCGCTCCTTGAGAGAAGGCCTGTTTAGATGATGTAAGGGCTTTTATAAATAACAAGATGAAGAATGGCACATTCGTTAAGGTACATGTTTTGAATATGATTGAGCACCTCCACGAGACTGAAGTCAATGGTGTCAGGATCGATGAAGCCACCCAACTTGGCATCATCTTGGAAAGCCTACTCCCGGCCTTTCAACAGTTCACTAGCAACTATGTTATGAACATAAGGAAAGCCAACTTGATCGAACTATTGAATGACCTGTAAAACTTTGAATCCACCAAAAAAGGTAAAGGAGGAGAATCAAATGTTGATGTTGCTGTTGGATCTAGTAAGAATAAGAGAAAGAACCAGAACCAGGGAAGGGAAGAACAAAAAGACCAAAAAGAAGGGCTCCGACTAGAAACCTAAAGGAAAGTGTTTCCACTACAACGGAGATGGGCACTGGAAGAGAAACTGTAAAAAGTATCTTGAGGAGCTCAAGAAA